TGAAATTTAGGAATACCTCCCTTGCTTCCTGTCTTCTGCGCATCGCCCTCTTTCCTATTGTGATCTGGCTGGCAGCGTCTTTTCCAAATCGTCCATACTGTATACTGTCTTATGAGTTGGAACAACTGTTTCTCGAAGGCTGGCCAGTCTCTGGGGCAGTTGTGGCCCAATAGCAGGGTCGCCTTTTTCTTGCAGGAATGGCTTCTGCGTCATCTGCCTCCAAAGGGTTCTGGCGATTTCCCATAGGCTCTCTGCCTCTGGGCATGCCAGCAAGCCATGTTCCATTGTCTCCACTGAGCCCTGCTGGCAAACTATACACAACGCGTTGGAAGGGGTCTCTCTCTCCTTGCTCGACTTCTCCTCTCGTTTACCCAGGCGTTTACCGGCAGTGCGACATGCGCAACTAGCCACTGCACGCTCCTAACTCGACCAAGTCTCATCTTATTGATCAGAGCCGATGGTATTGCCGGTAGTTGCTCCGGGGAGACTCCCACACCCTGTTTTCCCAAGGCTTCGTGAGTGCGGTCTTCAGGGGGTGGTGATGCCTTCTTGGTGGGCGGTAGTCGATTCGAGTTGTATATTTGAGTATGCTGATTCTTCTGAATATTCTCAACCTCCCTCCTCTGAGATTCCACGCCCACTCCACCGGGTCTATTTCCAGATCTTCTATTGGAGTGGTTAGGCTAACTATCGTGAAGTCCTCTGTTTCCACTACTCTTATTTTTTGTACTTGTTGCACTTGAATAGTGGAATCCTGGACCAAGAGGCTGGCGGTTCTTCCCGGATTCGTGATGTTGTACATGTCTGTGTTCAATCACTCCTTCCTTGCTGGTTCTTGGCTCCAGATGCGGATGCTTCTGCAGGTTCCCCTTCTTGCTTCCATGTGACCCAGTCGCCTACTCACCGTTATTGAGTATTCTTTTTCAACATTGTTGTGGTCCACTCATGTGGTATGGATGTGAGGATCGTTGATGTTCTCAATTAGTCTGTGGCATCCCTTTAGCTCCGCTCTGAGCTCCCTGGCCGTCTTCCATTGCTGCTTATCCTTTGCCCAGAGGTGTTTGATCTGCCAGACTCCGTGTTCTACCCATATGCCCCATTTTGTGTCTTTTTGTGTGAGTGTGAGGGGCTTACCCTGTGTGTCCTTGATGGCTGGGTTACAGAATAGGGGCTGGCAGAGGAAAACAAGAAAGATTGAAACCCCACCCGAACGGGTGGGTAATTGGTACAGATCATACATGACATTCAATTCAAAATGAAAGCTATGCACAATGATTTTTGATAAGTTTTGCTTCTAGTTTACCAAGAAAGCCCGTAATTGCAGAGTATAAGAAAAAGAAACTGATGCAATTTGTCCAATAGTTACTACCTCCTCTTGAGTACGTGGCTCTCTGACTCTAGCAGGAAAGTTTTCCTTCCACAGCTTCAGTAGCTGCTGCCAGTAAGAGCCCGCCCTGGTTCCGCCCTCGCCGCTTGTCCGCTCTCATGGACCTCTCCCTGCTTTGGCCCAGTTACTGCACATTATCCAGAAGAGCCCCGACATGTTGACTGGTGTAGTGTACTTCGCCAGTTGTCTAATTCTGTCGAGGGCGGGTAGCACCCCCGACAGATTTTGGTGGGTGGGTGGTCAGTTTGACCACCCAGTTCGTTTGCAGAGCCTTGAGCTGCTGGTCTGGATCTATTATGCCTAGGCCTCCTTGTTCCTTCGGCTTTGTGACGTGTGCTTCCATGCAACTTTGGCAATGAAGTTAGGCCTCTTGGGATCGGAGGTCCACAGGTACGCTGAAGCTCTTCTTCATAGTGTTGCTGTCGTCTGAGTTGGGGGACTCCAGATTGTCCCTGCGTACCACAGCATTGAGAAAATGGACGAGTTTAGGATGAGCGCTCTCCCGAACACTGAGGTGTAGATCGCTGACCATGCCCCCAGTTTTGCTAGGATCCTGGTCATCAGTTCTGCTGCCATGGAGTGATGCGGGCCTGTTTCCGTTATCTCAACTGCCAAGTATCTTAGCGGGTTTTGTGCTGTCATCCATTGTAGTCTTTCTGGTTTAATTGTGGGGTCCAATCTCCCCCCCCGCCTTCCTGGGTCGTCAGCCACCAGCCCACGATTTCATATCTACTTTTAAATTTTAGTACTCTCAGAAATTCTAAATGAGTTTTTACTTTCTTTGATCTTAATTGGCCGTTCTTTCTTATTTGCTTCTTCATCCAGCCCAACTTACCCCGAAAAATTGTCAGCTTACGAATGTGGTTCTGCCAAAATAAAAAATAATCACCGCTCCTCTATCATAGAGAGCATTCTAACTTAATCCAGAACACCTTCACTGGCTTGTCCTTCAAATTTGTGTGATCCAGTCAAACCAACGTCTATATTATACCCTATTCTGACGTTTTAAATTTTTAATTCGTTAATCCATTTCATTATTTTCATATTGATTCTAGGACTACCAATTCCGCGAGTACTATAAATGGCAGCACGCACGGGGTGGTAAGATAACTGAGGGAGGGTGGAGGGTGACTGATGGTCGCATCATCTGATCATCAGGGCACAGTGGGGTGATGCGATTGGGGAGGGGTGGGAGGACGGAGGTTGATCGTTGCATCATCCGATCTTCATATATCAGAGGGAGAGATGGTAGGGAGGTGGGTCTGCATGCAGAAGGGCAGTGGGTTCGCTGTGTTTTGGGGAAAGAGTTTCTATCGAGTGATTGACCCATACATGTCTTGTCTTGTTTCGTAGTCGCTGCTTCCACTCCAGTAGGAATTTCTCTATTTTCCCCTTAGGCAATCCAGTAGCCAACTGGGGGCTACTATTAGGACAACGAAGGTCGAAACTGGGGTAGGCCGCGTTGGCCTGTAGCCTAGCATGTTTGGGGCGTGAGGCCATGTCGGCCTGGTAGCATGATAAGGATAACTCATACTTGCGGCGCACTGGTGCGGTGCACCATGGGGTGCG